CCACCACGCTTGACACCATCTGAACCAAATAAGTTTATCTTGGTCTCATCAGACCACAGGACATGGTTCCAGTAATCCATGTCCTCAGTCTGCTTGTCTTCAACAAACTGTTTGCAGGCTTTTTTGTGCATCATCTTTAGAAGAGGCTTCCTTCTGGGACGGCAGCCATGCAGACCTATTTGATGCAGTGTGCGGCGTACGGTCTGAGCACTGACAGGCTGACCCCCCACCCCTTCATCTTCTGCAGCAATGCTAGTAGCACTCATGCATCTATTTCCCAAAAACAACCTCTGGATATGACACTGAGCACATGCACTCAACTTCTTTGGTCGACCATGGCTGTCAGGTTCATACACCTATAATATCAGACAAGGAAGAAAGACGAGAGTTAATGGCTTTTTACTCACGAGGAGAACGGACAGAGATGTACACAGTTACAAACTTATCTCTAAAGTTATCTCTTCCGTTTCCTCTCTTTTTATTATATTCAGGGCGTTCCCTAGTTACATGCATGTTGCTGCTCTAAGGGAAAAGTGGGTGTAGCAGCAACATGAAACGTGATCAACGTGACATATATTATTGTACAGTATTGTTCCAGGAACTATGTACGTTAAGCTCAGTCGCTCCTCAGGCCCAGGGCTTCAGTTGTCTGCTCCGTGAGTCATTTCCTTCAGTCACACCATCCGCTGTAGACTTCCTGTCAGTACATTTCTGCCGACAGACTTACACACTTGCATTAGTACACGTCTTGATATATATATTTATATATTGTTTCAGATTGCATGGGCGAGAGTAAATATGAGATAACTTATATACATACTGGTTCCAACAATGGTGAGGCCTGTTCTGAGTGGAACCTGTCTTGTTGAACCGCTGTATGGTCTTGGCCACCGTGCTGCAGCTCAATTTCAGGGGCTTGGCGGTCTTCTTATAGCCTCGGCCATCTTAATGTAGAGCAACAATTCTTTTTTTTTCAGATCCTCAGAGTTCTTTGCCATGAGGTGCCATGTTGAACTGTCGGTGACCAGTATGAGAGCGATAACACCAAATTTAACCCACTTGTTCCCCATTCACACCTGAAACTTTGTAACGGTAATGAGTCGCATGCCACCGGGGAGGGAAAATGGCTAATTGGGCCCAATTTGGGCCAGTAGTAGGACCATAGCTAGACACCTGATCTCCAGATGCGATCATAAACAGTACACCAACCAAAAGAAAGGCCGGCAAAACCTCCTCAGTGTTAATGTACATGGTGGGAAATAGATAAAAAGTATATAAAGTTAAAGAGGAAAAAAGGCTCATCAGAGCTGCTGTAAAATGCAGCGCTGGAAGCTAACAGTCACATTAAAACGTGTGAAAGCGCTGGACACGTCGTCCTCCTCATCTGGCTGAAAGACATAAACCTGATGGTGTTGGGGAAAAAACTGACATAACCAAGCAGTTTTTTGGAAGCAAATCATTTATTTATATATATATATATATATATATATAAATAATTTTTTTTTTTTTTTTTTCTCCTAGTAAGTTGATTCATTTCTTTATGGAGGTTATTTTTATAGTGCTGTTTTGTGTTTTTTCACAGGCACCTTGACATCATTCACCATGTCTGTAACAGTCGTACCTCGACTATGGGAAGGTGTCAACATGGGCTTCTGGACGAAACACGTGCAAAGGTGTGGATCTGGAGAGACTCCAGGTGCCGCAAAGCTTTAGTGGACATTGTTCTCAATAAGCGTTGGCTGAAGGATGTGCATAAATACCTGCGATTCAGGTAAAGGGTGACTACGTGTTTCACACAGATGTAAATACTGACTGTACTAATTTTATATTATTTATAAATATATTTATATATGCACAATCAGATCAGCTGCAGACCTAGAGGCATTCCAGAATCAGATACTGATGTATGTCAGCAAGCGATCCACCTTCAGTCCCCCACTTTATGAGGCAAAAGTTCTGCTTGCTGCTCTGGACTATAACTTCCACCAGAACCGAACATTGAAAACAGCAGAAGGCAAAGAGATGTAAGTTTTGCACTCATATTGATTTCCTTATTTACAATGAGTGTTTTGTACTAAAGTGATTATATATTTTCATGTGCGCTCAAGTTTATCAGTTGATATAATGACTCAGTGTAAACATCAACATTTTCTGATAGGCAAAACAAAAATGTTACTATTAAATAAATTTTAAAATGGGTTGCTTTAGCCCTGATTTAGCTGCCTCCCTCTGTCCCTAGTCTGGGTCGATGTCCCACCCACATTTGATCTGATTGGTTAAAGGTCAAGAGTAAGACAGTAGCTGATTCCAGTGGGCAGCGGCAGTTGTGTGACAGGGAAGGCCGCAGATACTACTGAAGTTAGAGCCCGACCGATATGGGATTATGAAGTCCGATGCTGATTTTGATATTTGAGGATTTACGATAACCGATATTCTTTTTCCCTCTTATTTTAAGAAACTGTTACGTCCCCGCTCACTAGGGGTAGGAGAGACATAGACATAAACCAGATGGTTTTGGTATGGGTGGAAAGATTATTTATTAAACAGACGGTACAACAAAAAGTCAAACAGAAAATGGGCAAGCGGGTGATACGTAAAACAAAGAACCAAATATAACAAAAAGAGATCCCTCCTAAATTACGGATTACTAAACTACTTACAAAGATTGGCTAAACTTCGGGGAAAGCTTGAAGGCGGTCCTGCAGGCAGCTCGGCGATTGGAGGAGGGTTCTTGTGCTGCTCCAATCAGGATCCTCAGATGTGGGAGGCGGGATCAGCCAGTCTTCCCCGAAGTTTAGCCAATCCCCCGCCGGAAATCTCACAGTGTACCACATGTAGGGGGAAACACAGCAGCAACAGTGACACACAGACAGAAACGCTTATTTTATCCCTAACATTTGTTATGTTGAGACCTCACCAAGATACCATGACATAATGCAGTTTAAAAATAAACTTTGTTATTGTTAGAAATAGTACTTTGAACAAAAGTACAAAAAAAAAAAAAATATATATATATATATAAGCTAAATACGAGTCAAATGTGTAAAACTACAGAAAACATTTTTTATATATTTGATTTTATTATAGAGTACTACTACTAATGAACATTTAATTAAATAACGTATGTATTGTGGGAGCCAGCGTAACAGTAACTATGAAATACCATTTTACTATTACTACTAAAATAATAATAATACCATATATTATCTCTCATGTCATTGCTATCATAATAATGATAAACAGGGCTCTCCTACATAGGCAAAGAATATATATATATATATATATATTATATTTTTGTCATGCGGTAGTTATTACCTTACATATAATCTGCCACGATGACTATTTCTACATGTAGTTTATCACCTGCACTCTGTTAATTCTATCCAAAGCTACAGAAACGATTTCCTAACCGCCTTCTGTCTCTATGATACAGTAACGCAGAGGAAACGCTGCCCTTGAATTAATCTAATACTACGTGACTGTCTATGAGGACTTGCAACTGTGTGTTCCCTCTGGTTTAATCATTTCTGACACGCTGACTATAACTACAGACACTACAGTTTAATCTGCAAAACAGAAAATTGTTCAGGCTTCAGTGACGACATGGGGGGGACTGTACGGATCTGTTGCACCAATACTGATATTGAATGTTCAAAATTTGTGTAATTACAGTTTCAGAAGGCTGCACAAGAAAAACAGCAGAAGACACAGGTTATATGCCCTGAAATCTGAAAAAAACAATGCATACATCTCCAAGCTCCAAGCAAGGATTGTAAAGAGGAGAATCACAAGTGGAGTGGGGATGCCTAGAACTAAGACAGGTAAGACTTTGTTTTCCTCCAGGCCCGAAGTTGATGGTGACTTGACGTCATCCTGCTTTCATCATCAGATCAGACAGCACATGTCGTTCTGGAGGGCCGTTAAAATCAACACAGTTGGACATTTAATTTGGAAGACTTCTGAAGCAAATTGCGGTAAAAGACTTTTGAAGGCTACCTCAATACTTGTCATGGTTAAATGTGTTCTTGACCTGTATCCTAATATTTGTTAAAGGAACTCCATCTTCCGCATTATTGGTTCTTATTACATTTCTATTTTTTTATTAGTTTCCTAGATAATAGCTGCCAACATTTTTTGCTGTGTGTTTCAGTGTTCCCTGCAGATGTCCAGCAGCTGTTGGTGATTAAAGAAGAGACTCCCCCTGAGTGGAGCCCCAGTCTGGACCAGGAGGATCCAGAGCTCCTACACATAAAAGAAGAACAGGAGAAACTCTGGACCAGTCAGGAGGGAGAGCAGCTTAATGGACTGGAGGAGGCTGATATCACCAGGTTCCCATTCACTGCTGTTACTGTGAAGAGTGAAGATGAGGAAGAGAAACCTCAGTCTCCACAGCTTCATCAAAGACAAACTGAGGACAACAGAGAGGCAGAGCCTTCAGCCAGCAGCTCAGCTACGCAGATAAAAACAGAAACTGATGGAGGATCAGAACCTGCTGGGAACCTTGATCCAGATAGTCATTTACAACCAGATACTGCTGAAAAAGCTTCAGACTCTGAAGTCAGTGAAAATGACTGGCAAGAACCTTTGTCAGATTCTGAAGCTGAAACTGAAGACAGTGACAATGGTTGGAAGGAGACCAGAGCACCTGAGTCAGGTGTAAATGCTCTGAAATATAAGGAAGCTCCTGTAAGTGATGCAGGATGTAATGCTGGGAAAGAATCTTTTAGCTGCTTTGAATGTGGTAAACAATATCACCTCAAGGGGTCTCTTCAGAGACACATGAAGTGTCATTTAAGCAAAAGGCCTTCCACCCATCTGGTTAATAAGAAATGTTGTAAAGTGAAGGACAATGTAGAATTACACATGAGAGTCCACACAGGAGAGAAACCGTTTGGCTGTGATGTTTGTGGTAAAAGATTTACAGTCCAGGGAGCTCTGAACAGACACATGAGAGTCCACACAGGAGAGAAACCGTTTGGCTGTGATGTTTGTGGTAAAAGATTTAACCAGCATCCACATCTTAAAATGCACATGAGAGTCCACACAGGAGAGAAACCGTTTGGCTGTGATGTTTGTGGTAAAAGATTTAACCAGCATCCACATCTTAAAATGCACATGAGAGTGCACACAAGAGAGAGACCGTTTGGCTGTGATGATTGTGGGAAGAGATTTACAGAACAGAGTAGTCTACAGAAACACATGAGAGTCCACACAGGAGAGAAACCATTTGCCTGTGATGTTTGTGGTAAAAGATTTACAGAACAGGGAGCTCTCAAGAGACACATGATAATACATACTGGAGAGAAACCATTTTGCTGTGATGTTTGTGGTAAAAGATTTAACCAGCAGCCACATCTTAAAATGCACATGAGAGTGCACACAGGAGAGAAACCATTTGGCTGTGATGTTTGTGGTAAAAGATTTAACCAGCAGCCACATCTTAAAATGCACATGATAGGTCACACAGGAGAGAAACCATTTGGCTGTGGTGTTTGTGGTAAAAGATTTACAGAACAGGGAACTCTCAAGAGACACATGATAATACATACTGGAGAGAAACCATTTTGCTGTGATGTTTGTGGTAAAAGATTTAACCAGCAGCCACATCTTAAAATGCACATGATAGGTCACACAGGAGAGAAACCATTTGGCTGTGATGTTTGTGGGAAGAGATTTACACAAAAGAGAAATCTAAAGAAACACATGAGTGTCCACCCAGGAGAGAAACCATTTGGCTGTGATGTTTGTGGAAAGAGATTTAATCAGCATGCACATCTTAAGCTGCACGTGAGAGTCCACACAGGAGAGAAACCATTTGGCTGTCAGGTTTGTGGGATGAAATTTGCAGATCAGGGAAATCTCAAGACAGACATGAGAGTCCACACAGGAGAGAAACCATTTGGCTGTGATGTTTGTGGGATGAAATTTGCAGATCAGGGAAATCTCAAGACAGACATGAGAGTCCACACAGGAGAGAAACCATTTGGCTGTGATGTTTGTGGTAAAAGATTTAACCAGAAGTCTCATCTTTGCAGACACATGAGCAGTGTTTCCCACACAGACTTTACTTAGGTGGGTCACCCAGGTGTAATTGGTGACCTATTTTAGTGTTTTGCAGAGAAAGACCGATATAGTTGTTGTCTATTATGTTAAACGGACGGTGGATCTATTACAATCACGGATCACTTAAAGCCACAGTAAACACAATATTTTCCAAACATCTGATGACTCTGCACGTCAGGGTAAATATTTGTATATGAAATGCACATTTTATGTCTAATTGTCTAGTCAATATACTGTATATTCAAACTAAGTGATCCAGTCACCTGAAATACTGGATTGCACTGAAATGTAATAGGTGGAACAGGAGACCTTTTATAGTGGACTTGACGTCTGATTTTGACCTTTTTAAGATGTATATAAATAGAAACTGTTGTTATTAAGATGGGTTTGTGATTCTTTCTTAGTCTGTAACTGAAACTTTGGTAACACTTATTTTACAGGTCTCATTTCTTTGTATAACCTTCTAGAAAACTTTAAACTCCAGGACGGTTCGAGGAAATGGATGATCGTTATCATAGGGAAAGTGGAGATTGCAAGATCCAATAAATTGCTTATGTAACTTAGTCTTTTTTTGATAATTGTCTATAGGCAAACATACAGTTCAACATATATAACCAATGAAGTCTGACACATGACAATCACTGTTGCATTAGCTGTAGCTAGCATGGATAATTACTCGCCAAGGAGCAGTCTTCTAAGTACTTTGTCTGAACAATGTCAGTGAAACACAACTATTTATTACGTTTGATAAACACAGATATGCAACAGAGTTTTTGAACTGCAACTCAAAAAAGACAATCACGTTGCTTGTGAACTTGTGATGTGCAATGTATGTGCATGCACGAAATGAAACTCATTCCAACAGCTGACTATATGCGGATGGATGTGATGGCCAGTCTTGGGAAGTACCACATTACTCAGTAACTCTAATATTATTACTATTCCCATTAACTAGTTGTGTAAGAGATTACTATTTCTAAAAACAGTAATAATATTAGTTACAATTCCAAGTAATGCCATGTTACTGTATTACCATAATGCACCATCTCGATGTGAATGCGCAACTGTGCAGTTGGTTAGGTAAAGAAGCTAGCCTTATGTACTTCAATTCGGCTACCAACCAAAAATTAAAGGAAGAATGAAAGGCATTCTTTGGACAGCTGTAAGTATTGCCTTTATATTGCGTTTGTCACAGTCAAAGATCAAAGATCATTGTCTTCCATTTTAAACTTTGTGCGACCAGCAAAAAGTTTTCAGCCGGGAAATATTCATGGCTTTCTTTGCCATGAAAGCCAAGCAGTCAGAAAAGCATGAAGAGCATGAAGTTTAGTCTTCCCCCTGGGTTCCCCGTCTAATCCACCTCCAGAAAAGCCTTTTGGAGGGAAAAGGGGATCCTGTCGTCGCAGACATGCTGCTCTGGTGCCCAGCTCCTCTCAGTCTTCGCTGCCCGGCCCTTCGCTTTCAAAGCTCATCAAGTCTAAGCTCCCTAGTGGTATGGGGACAGAGCCGTCCAGTCCTGCTGTCCTGTCCTCAAGGTCCAGTTTGGTGGTCCGACCGAAACCCACCTCTGGGACCCCTGCTCCTGGTCCCTCATAGGTGGTCCGACCAGCACCTGCTCCTGATTCTCCGTTGGTGCTCCCACCAGCACCTGCTCCTGATTCTGTCGGTAGTCTGACCGGCTACTGCTGCTGACCCCACATCCTCCTGTGAAGCCGCAGCAAGTCCCTATCTCTACCCCAGACCTTGCTGAGCCACAACCGACCCGACATCCCTGAGCTTCCGCACTTCCCGAACTCTGCCAAGCAGCTGCTACCTCTGGACTCCAGTCTCCCCTCACTCGTGAACAAGACCCTGAGGTACTTGAACTCCTTCACTTGGGGTAAGGACTCATTTCCCTACCTGGAGTTGGCACTCCACCGGTTTCCTGCTGAAAACCATGGCCACAGATTTAGAGGTGCTAATCCTCATCCCAACCGCTTTACACTCTGCTGCGAACTGATCCAGTGAGAGCTGAAAGTCACGGACCGATACAGTGAGAGCAGTAACGAGATCCCAAGCCCGCCGAACAGCAACCCCTCCTCACCACGACTATGCCTTGATATCCTGTCCATGAATATCACAAACAGGATTGGTGACAAAGCGCAGCCCTGACGAAGGCCAACCCTCACCTGGAAAGAGTCTGACATACTGCCGAGTACTCTCGCTTTGGATGTACAGGGATTGGATAGCCCTGAGAAGGGACCGGTCATATGCCTTTTCCAGATCTACAAAGCACATGTAGACTGGATGGGCATACTCCCAAGCCCACTCCAGGATCCTTGTGAGAGTAAAGAGCCGGTCCATTGTTCCACGACCAGGTTCCTCTTTGATCTCGGCCGAACCCTCCATTCCAGCACCCTGGCATGATGGAGTTGAGCCAGGGAATGGTGGTATCATCGTCCATTTCTGAAGTGGAGCAGTCAGCACGATGAGATGTGGTAGCTGCAGTCTGATAGCCTTGGTTGAGACTGAGAAGACGTAAGACGTTTTGCCTGGGCCAAGGCTACCGTAGAGAACTCCATGATGAGCTTTTCTTACTCTCTGAGCTGGGACTTCAGAGAAACGATACTTTCCTTCAGCTTGGACATGGTAAGTTGGCAAGATCCGCATTCAGCCATCACACTCATAGTTAGTCCATAAAAGTGATAAAAATAAAAGTAAACAACAAAACAATAAACATGCTAGGATTTTGAGGCAGTTTTACCCAGCCACCAGGCCAAACACTGCCCAGATAAGCAGCAGCAGTCGAAGCTGAGTAGTTCGTCAGTAAAGTTACCAAATTTCCACTGACAGATGTGAATGTTTCAGTGTGTGCAGGACCTGTAGTGCTTAGGCCAAGCTGTAAGAGCGCACACAACAGAAAGAGTTCCTGATTGGTATTGAGTCTGTTTGTATGCTATTAGCTTGCTCACGCTGAAGACCTCACAGGAGGTTAAATTGTCTCACTTCTGATCCCAAAAAAAAGCAGCCTGATCTGTGTTCAGTTCTTTCTCTTGGTGAAGTTGTTAGACAGACCAGTCCTGGTTTTTGTACTGCTACCCCCATACTCTGAAAAGCACATAGCTCTGGTTTCCCCTGGGCTACAGCAGACCCCAGCTCTGGAGTCACTGCTGTCTCCAGTTCCCCTGGCTCAACTAGTCTCTAGCCCAACAGCACTGTCACCAGTCAACAGTCCAGCAACCCAACTCTTGACCTCCAGTCCTAACACCTGTCTGCAGCCCTGCTGCACTGTTGGCGACTCTCAGTCCAGTTGTACAGTCGCCAGCCTCCAGTTCTACTGTCCAGTCGCTGGTCCTCTGTCCTGCGGCCTTATCCCTGGTTCCCTATTTTGCTGCTTCGCTGCCGGACTCTAGTACTGCTCTGCCCTTTGAAGGTCTTCGCCTTAATCGCTGGCCTTCTGCCAGACCTCTGGAGCGGTTTCTCCCTCATCGGTGGCCTCCTGAGGCAGGGCAGAGAAATAGGTCGGTTAGGGGGGAAAATCCAGGGTGTTGACCCGACAGGTCAGGAGGTCGGCCAGGAGGTCGGCCAGGAGGCCGAGAGCCAGAGCAAAAGCCCACAGGAGGCTGAACAGAGCGTCGGCAGCGAGGATTGGAAGCCCCAGGAGGCCATCCATGGAGCCGGCGAGGACGACAAAACCTTTCTGGAGGTCGGGCTGGGGGCCGACGGCGAAGTTGGAGACCCTCTGGTGGCTGAACCGAAGACCAACCGCAATGAGAGCTCAGGAAGAAGACAGGAGGCCAGCGGCGAAGGCGGAACCTCACTGGAGGCCGGCGGCAAAGGCAAAGCCCCTCTGGAGGCTGAGCTGGACTCCTCGGCAGGGAAGCAGCACAATGAACCAGAGACCAGGCTACTGGGCTAAGGATCGTGGACAGGGCACGAGAAGGTGGTGTAGTCCGGACTATGGGCTGGACTACGGACTTGGCACGAGGAGCAGGACTCTGTTCGATCACCTGACGAGTTGATACCGGTCGATCCACCGACTGGGCACGAGGAGCAGGGGTCAGCTGGACCACCAACGGAGTTGATCGGTCCTCTGATGGGGCATGAGGAGCAGGGGTTGGCTGGACCACCGGCAGAACTGATACCGGTCGGACCACCAACGGGGAATCGGCCAAAACAGGAACCACCCCACGGGTACCCCAAAACTGTCTCTTGTGCGTTGGCAAACTGTGGTGTAGTTGGGCTAGGTTGTGAAGGCTTTGGACCAAGGGCTGGATGATGTTGACGGGAACCGTGATGGCCACATCTTCTCCTACGACCACCACGGAACCCAGGGAAGATGGCCAGCGAGTCCCCTCAAACAGATAATGGTGGTCAAAGTTGTTTGCCGGCCAGGAGACAGGCTGACCAGCAGGTGAATCTCTCTGCCCGGGGGGGGGTGAAGTGTTGGGTCAGGCGGAATGGCAGGCAGGGAATCAGGTGGGCGGCTAGCAGCGCTGGCAGGGCGAGGATCAGGCAGAACTGGCTGAAGGCTAGTGGTGCTAGCGGGCCGGGGAACAGGCTGGGGGCTAGCGGTGCTAGCGGGCCAGGAAACGGGCTGGGAGCTAGCGGCGCCAGCGGGGCCGGGGAACGGGCTGGGGGCTAGCGGCGCCAGCGGGCCGGGGAACGGGCTGGGGGCTAGCGGCGCCAGCGGACTGGGGAACAGGCTGGTACATGCTGAGGGACTCCATAGGTAGAGGGGCTGAGGCGTTGTTCCGTCAAGAGTCAGAAGACAGAATGGACCCAAATGCAATGCTCAGGATTAAAACGGTTTTATTAAGGGAAAAAAGGGGTTGAGGGAGTGGAGGTGAGGGACAGGTGGATGCCCGAACATGGGCACGGGGGACCGAGGAGCAAGTAGGGCAGAGGAGCGAGCCCAGCTGACGCAACAGGGGCCGGGGGTGAGTGAACCTGGCGAAAGGAATACAGACAGACAGGGTTAATCACTAGGAAAACAGAAAGGGGAACAGAGATGTTGCAGGAATCACAGAGGCTTGAGTTAGGCTGCGGCGCCAGGTCAGGAGCAACGACGATCAAGTGGAGATTGTGTGGAGAACTGGGTATGACATACTGGCTGAGATGTAGTGATTGCTGGCAGGTATGGCAGGCAGAGGAGGCTGCTGATGAGGTGCAGGTGTGGATTGCCAGCCAGGCTCAGGAACAGAGAGAGAGAGGGAGAACATACGCAGGGGGAGAGGAGGAGACAGGCAGGCAAAACACAGGGGAAAACAGAATGGTAGGAAAAAAGGAGGAATAAACAGGAAACTCACCGTCAGCCGGGCTGCCACCACAACACAGAAACATGCCTACTGACACCATTACAAACCGTATTATGTTCAGGCCCTGTGACTGTGTATGTCAGCGATTCTGAACATTTTTCCTTAAAGGTTGCCATGTTTCTACAGTAGCCAAAAACTAACAGTGCTACAGAGCGCGTTTCATCACAAAATTTTTCTTCTTCTTCTTGTATAATTCCGGCAGTGTAGGCGCTCGTCACTACATTGAATGAGTATGAGGAAGAGGAAATAATAATAAAAAGTCTCTGAGTAGTCATCTGGTTTATTAGAAGTAAGAAGAGAAGTGAAATTTGGACTACTGAAGGAATACACGTATTATTTAGCGCAAGCTGACAGCGTGTGGATCTTTGTTGTCAAAGAAGCGAAAACATGATGAAGCCAGATGAATACAGACCGGTGATGGCAGAAACAGGATATAATCTTTGTGGATGTTACCAGATGGAAGGCTCTTATGCGGGACAGATGTTTTCAAAGAGGGGCTGAAGTTGCGTGTTTTCTGCTGGACAGGTAATTAAGTTAGTGCAACTTGAGCGATGCAAATGAAAACTGTTGTTTGATAGTATCAGGTAGAAGCTGGCCATAATCACCGATAGAAGGAACATTTGAGACAAAGCTCGTAATATTACGACAATAAAATCTGAAAAATGAAATCAATAGTTTGATAAAATCTTCCTGCCCCTCTGCTTTGCATTACCCTCAGTGATTGCTCTACTGATATGGTCGTAGGCTACCCTTTTCAGACAGACAGAGCAAAGGTGTCTCTGAGCGAGGGGGACGGAGACAGCAAAGAGAGTGACCAGGTGTCGGTCAGGTGTGTCATCTAATCTCTCGCATTTTTGTGGTGGACTGTTAACTCTTTGTGTAGCAAATACATTGACTAGACACACTAACAACATTTATATCTAAATGTTTTGATTACAATTTTGCAAGAGACAATTCAAGAGGATGAAGAGCATTTTTTAGGGAGGGTAGATCTGGCATGCAGGGACTCTCTGGGCCTACTTCCTCCCCCCTAACTACTGTTTGCACATTCACGCTGAGTGTCCGCCACATTGAGTGCCACCCAAAACTAATGAGGGGTGTGTCTAACACCCTTTGCTGCATGATGGAGGACCTGTCTTTCAAATGTGAGTTCCCTGTCACTATGTCTGTTATAGGATTTCTTAATTTTGGAACTACACCAACATTTCTATTTCACCATATACAGGTTACCATCGTAGCCTGTAAAGGTTGGATTGTGTTGAATAAAAACAATGCTTTTGTCTGATAGACTGTCAGGATTTGCCGTGTGCTCAGGCACTGCTATTATGACCAAAATGCAGGACACAAGGCAGAACAGGTACTGACTCTCATTATTTATTAAGAAAGAAACCAAACTTACAGCAGTCTCCAGATTCAACAAAGATAATCCACTGAACGGCGGGGAATCCAAAGGGCACCAAAATACAAAGTCCATTAACAGAATAATCCAAGAGATCAGGCAGAACCAAGAATGAATTCCAGATGTGGCAGTACAAAAGCTGCTGCACACAACAGAGACGAACAACGGACCAGCAAGGACAACAGAAATGACAAACATTTAAGCACAGGCTAACAAAGAGGACGGGAGCACAAACAGGTGGTACCAATCAGGGCAGCACATGGACACAGGCAAGCAGGGTGAGTGACAGCCTGAACACAGACAGGTTACATAACACGACAAGAATCATACTGGAACTACAATGCAAAACACACAAAGCACACTAAATGACTAAAGGACACTGGCAAACTCAACAGTGAGACAGAACAGACAGGACCAGACCAAAATGCATGAACACAACTGAATGACAAACCAAGGTTCAAAACCAGCAAAGACGGACAGACAGACCGAGCAAGGCGGCTGTAGGTGGCGAGTTGCTTTTCTGTGGCTGCACAAAGTTGGAACCACACTTTTGCCTGGTCTCGCGGCATTTGCTCAGGCAAAAGTGTGATTCCAACTTTTATTTAAGTTTATTGCTCACAGTAAGCTCCCACAGGTAGGATGTGTCCGACTTGACCGTTTTTATTCCTCGCCCCTACAGTCGCCTGCGGCGAAACCAAGCATGAATCAAACACCTAACAAAAACTTTTATTAAAAATAATTTTTATTGATTCTTATTAATCTCATACGAAAATATTCAACTAAAACAAAAGTACATAAAATGACAGAATAATAGAAGATGACACAGCTAGATACACAGGGTTATCACGTAACAAATAAAAAAGGCATTAAAGAAGATTATTTAAATCTTTACACATTTTAATGTTTTTAATTGCTTTACTACATACTATTACTTCAGACCATATAATGCTTCAATATATTGTTTGATTTCTAGTTTGAAATGTTGTATTGGTGGATTCTTTTTAGACCATTTGTATTTGTGAATGTAATAATTTCTATATAAGATAAAGAGGTTCAACATAAATTGTAGGGCTGCACGATTTGGAGAAAAAGTCAAATTGTGGACAATATTGCAATTGAGGCGTGTAAAAGCAGCAAATATTGCCACACTGGCATCCTTAAAATTTTATTCAATGCTATACTATTTTACCGCTATTTTAATATATACAGTCACAGCTGTTTCATTTCTGTGGGGTTTTTATTTAAAATTTAATCCAAGAAAAAGGCTCTACATCGGTCTCTAATTTGTTAATGCTAAGTACCAACTTGTCAATAATCATATTGTTCGACATTTAAAAGTTTGCTGTAGTACGTAAAACTTTTTTTAATGTCCTGCATTAGGGAGTTACTGAAGCCATGACTCAGGCTTTGCAGCTCTGCCAAAATGTCTGGCAGCAGGACATAGCGCAGCTGGTAGAGTGCAGCCACCAGTCTTGGGAACAGATGATCAGCTTACACGATGTGGATCCCAGTTTGCATAAGTTTCCTATCAAAACAGATACAAAACAGACTGTTTCCAGAGAATGGTGCTGAAGGTGTGTAAACTGTTAAACTTCCTCAAGAGCTGATGGAAAAGTTCCACTATCAGGAGGTTAAAACATTTGATATAATTAATAATAAATAATTAATAAATTGGGCAAACAATTTAGCTTCAAGATAAAAAGTAATGAGGAGGAAAGGATTATTATTTTTTGTACAGTTAGCTTTGTTAAAATTCCACATTCACGAGAAGGCAGACTCCAAACCACGTTTTGTAAACTTTAACCAAGAACTGCATCAGTATGTAGCACCACAATCAAGAATAAGACAGCAATTAAGATTAACTATGTGCTTGGCACATTTTCTTATGGACCGATGATACAGTATTTTGAATTTGCTTCACTCTCTTAAAATCATGTATTTTGTAGGCTACTAATTGTATATCATTTTTTCTTTACTTTGTACAGTAGGTACCCCTGATACGTATAAAGTGTGACTGTATATGTTTTCTTTAAAATTATTTTTTAAAAACCAAACAGACAAACTGAGAAATACCTTTGATCACAGGCAGGAGGAAGGAGAAGAGATGAGAGGAGGAACAAAACAGAGAAATAAGAAGAGATCTTTCTGTAACACCATCGTCAGGCTCAGCCAATCAGAGGTTCATGTTCCGGTCATTGTTTACAGTCCGATTAGCAACTTCAGAGACATCAAGACGACATTTCGGCTAATCTGCGCTCCACACGGACTGTTTACCTGCATGCAAACAAAGCCCGCTGCAACGTGATTGGTCAATACTCCCGGACTACAGGCGGAAACCGGAACCTTCCTCTCCTGCAGACCCTGCATCCATGTGCAGATGGTAGAAAACAGACGGAGGAGAAGAAAGAAGATGAGATGAGTTTGAAGTGTTTGCTGGCTAACCGAGAAGCCAACATTTTGACAAATGGAGGATCGTACGTGTTATTTAGCAGAAGAAAAAGCGACGGAGCGAAAAGAGGAAGAAGTGAAACTAAATGTGGACAGACGACGGCAGAAAACAATGATCAACATCGGTGCGGCCTTCCCCAAATGGAAATCTCTGATGAGGGACAAATGTTTTCAGAGTGACGCCGAAGTTGCCTGTTTTCTGCTGCACAGGTAATTTAGCCCGATCTAAACTCAGTAATTACTACCAGGACTGTAGTTTTACTTTCATGCGACAAATCCTACAATTTATCTTAATTGGACCCAACAGACCCGAAAATTACTGCCAATCAAAGTGTAACGTTCAACAAAACTGCAGTTTGAAAAATATATGGCAAGCCATTAGTGCCAATAAACGTAAGTATTATAGCTTGTTTTGTAAAAAAACGGCATAAGTGCAGTTTTATACCGCTAACACGGGGGTCTTAAATGATAATGATCTCTTTTTGGAGCCATGTGGAAGGATAGCGCAGTGTAAATGTCTTACAAACAGCACAGTAGTCAAGTAAAAGTGCTGTCACTTGTCACTGCATAAACAAGTACTCAAGTCAGTGTTTCCCCTAGGATGGAGTTGTAGCAGCTGAGGTGAAGCGAAAAGGTTCGGGGGTCCTTCACCAAGAACATTTTACTTTTTCCAATGACAGACATGCAATTTCACATCATTTGGGACTATTAATTTTACCCTATCTTCGAACAAATAGTTGGAAAAGCTAGAGCAGATTATAAATAAAGAATATCCATAAAGCTAAGGACTAAACTTGCTGAAGAATTTGTCGCGGGAGGGACTATAACCATTCGAGTTTGGAAAAGTTATTTAGTATTCGTGCTCTCTCTCCACAATGATTTTACATTCTTGGCACAGCACCCAAGCCGTTTTGGGCCTCAACTCCTAAGCCTTATAACAGCAGGGAAACCCTCGAATATGACCTCCGAATCATTAACGTTATAGATAGGATTTTTCATGTTGCCTTTTGTGTCTCAATTTACAGCTTTTGACATTTATTTGTAAAAATTAATTTGAGGGCTGTGCGATATGATGATATCTATCGTTTGACGATAGAAAAAGGTCTGTCGTTTACAATTATGCTCTATTGTTTATTTCATTGTCACAAATTCCACACTTTACTGTAATATTTTGGTGAGGGACCACGCTTTGCACTGCGTTGAAGTTAGTTTTAAGATGGAATTTGTCTTCTATCGATTGTCCAACGTAAAACAAATATATAATATACATATCCAACTTGAAACTACCTTCACTGCGGTCCAAGGAAGCTAGCCAAACGTTTAGTGTTACTGTGGTCGCACAGTGTGCGACTGAACACAATAGTAGCTTAACGTTATTGTTTAATGATGGTGGGAAATTTCCGTAGCGATGGCATTTTTTTAGCAATGGTGCACCGTTACTCCTGAATGAAAATAGGGGAAACACTGCAAGGAGAAGTAAAATGGTCATCAAAATAACTTGCTACTTGAGTAAGAGCACAAAAGTGTTTACTGAACAAATCACTTGAGTAGCGAGTAACTTAAAAATAAAAACCCACTAGGTCTTAGACATCAAGCCTTTTATTTCACCTAGATGTGACTAGAATTATTTCAGCGACTGATGGGCTTCCTCGGGTAAAGGAGCGAACTTACACTTGTGTTTATTCAAGATGAAATGACAAGGCAAGGCAATTTTATTTGTATAGCACATTTCAACAACAAGGCAATTCAAAGTGCTTTACATAAAACATAAAAGCAAGAAATTGAAAAAATAAAACACATTATAAAAACAGGATAAAACAGGACAGTAAAAGCTACAGTGCAGTGTACAATCAGGGCACTGAAAATCTAAAAACAAAGAAAATGAAAATCGGACGTTACAGTGTAGTGAAAGGTACCAATCTATGGCTTTAATTTAATTAAAAGCGGTGGTAAAAAGAAAAGTCTTCAGTCTTAATTTAAAAAAACTGACAGTTTCAGCAGACCTGCAGTTATCTGGGAGTTTGTTCCAGATATACGGAGCATAATATCTGAACGCTGCTTCTCCTTGTTTAGTTTTGACTCTGGGGACAGAAAGCAGACCTGATCCCAGACGACCTGAGAGGTCTGGATGGTTCATAACAAAGCAGAAGATCAGAAATGTATTTTGGTGCTAAACCATTCAGTGCTTTATAAACGAACAGCAGGATTTTGAAATCAATTCTTTGACATACAGGAAGCCAACGTAAAGACCTCAGAACTGGAGTGATGTGATCCACCTTTTTGGTCTTAGTGAGGACTCGAGCAGCAGCGTTCTGAATCAGCTGCAGCTGTCTGATGGATTTTTTAGGGAGCCCTGTAAGGACGCCGTTATAGTAGTCAAGTCGACTGAAGATAAATGCATGGATAAGCTTTTCCAGGTCCTGCTGAGTCCTGTAATCCTTGATATATTCTTCAGGTGATAGTAGGCTGACTTTGTAATTGTCTTAATGTGGGTCCTCAAATTCAGGTCTGAGTCCATGACTACACCAAGATTTCTGGCTTGATTTGTGGTTCTTAACATTACAGATTGAAGCTGAGCACTGACTTTCAGTCGTTCCTCCCTGGCTCCAAAAACAATAACTTCAGTTTTATCTTTGTTTAATTGAAGAAAATTCTGGCACATCTAATCGTTGACCTGCTCAATACAGTTACTCAGCACCCGTATGGGCTCATAGTCCCCTGGTGAAATGGTTATGTAAATCTGTGTGTCATATGCATAATTATGGTAACATATTTTGTTGTTTTTCATAATCTGAGCTAATGGAAGCATGTAAATATTAAACAAAAGAGGCCCCAGAATGGAGCCTTGGGGAACTCCACATGTCATTTTTGTCAGCTCAGATGTGTAATTACCTATAGACACAAAGTAGTCCTTGTCCTTTAAGTAGGATTCAAACCAGTTTAGTTGTGCCAGAAAGTCCAACCATGTTTTCAAGTCTGTTGAGGTATACGTTGTGGTCAACCGTGTCGAATGCAGCACTGACATCCAATAATACCAAGATTGAAATTCTGCCACTGTCAGTGTTTAAATGGTTGTTATTGAAGACCTTAACAAGAGCCGTCTCAGTGCTGTAGTGTGGTCGAAATCCTGACTGGAAGACATCAAAACAGTTATTTAGTGCCAAGAAAGATTTGATATGGGCCTGTGACTGCTCATTAGTGACCTGTCTAGATTGCTCTTTTTTAAGAGTGGCTTAATGACTGCAGTTTTCAGGGCCTGTGGGAAAAAACCTGAGAGGTTGCATGTTGACAATTTGTAGTTAATCTGAGGCCGTGCAGTTAGAAACATTTTTGAAAAAACCTGTTGGCAGAATATCAAGGCAGCATGAGGAGGATTTCAGATGTTGTATTATGTCCTCCAGGTTTTTATGGTTAATAGAATCAAATTGTCTCATGCTATATGAATTGTTTTTAAGTGGACACAGGGACAAGACATATCCTGTTACTGACATGGAGGCACTGATTGCTTGTCTAATTGTTTGAATTTTGTCTGTGAAGAAGGAGGCAGATTCATTGCAGGCCCTTGGTGGATAGAAGGTCAGAGGCTACAGACACAGGAGGGTTGGTTAGCCTGTCGACAGCAGTAAACAGGGCACGTGCATTATTGGTGTGTGTTTTTGGTGATGATGTCAGAAGAAGGCCCGCCTTGCATTTCTCAGCTCTAAATTATAAATTACTATTGTCAAATTACGCTATTCTGTCCTTGATCTTTGCAGCTTTCAGAGGGGACACTGCATTTATTACTATTTAGTGTTCTCTCTGTAGGATTTATTGTTTTCTGAATATGTCCTCCTTTTACAGAATTGATTGGACAGATGAAGGCTCCCCTTCCTTTCATGAAAAAGATGATGGAGATAAAGATGACAGCTCTGATGAAGAGGATCTTCCACCCATTTGTATACGGTGTATTATCAGTCAGTCTTTACTCTGCTATTGTTCTGTGATGCCAGCTTTTATTCAAATCTTTACACATATGCCTTCATGTTGTGCCTCAACAGAATGGGTGGAGCATTAAAGAAAGCACCATCGATTGATCGACTTCCAGTTATTGGAACGGGCGAGGCAGCGCATGACCAGCCTGCACGTGAAGACCCTCCTGATGAGGCTTCTCCCTGTGATCAGGACCCTGTTTTCCCATCCCCACAGCAGGTCCTTTGTGAAGATGACATCGTTGGTGCCAGAGCTTCAATAGTATACGAGGACTGCTTGAGACAGCTGGCTACATTTCTGATCCTGCCTGTGAAAAAATGTACAGGGCGTTTAAAGACTGGTGTGGTGTGTGACTGTGTTGCCCCCTTTGAGATCAACATCACTTCCAAGGGCACAGCAACGAGTGTCGAATGGGTAAGTCCTGACAGTCGCAGCGTATCATAACTGTAAATTCCCATTAAAACACATTTGTAGTGAAAGCCAGTGCTGTACATGCCAAATGCAATCCTGCCTTTTCTTGGACTTTCAGATCTGTCCCAATGGACACAGCTTGTGGAGGTGGAATTCCCAGCCTGTAATGAAGTGTGGGACGCAAGCTGGAGATTTTCTCTTGTCCACCAACATTTTGTTGTCTGGCAACGACTATGCGAAGGTCGCCCTCTTGTTCAAGTTCATGAACATGGGGATGGTGAAGAAGAACACCTTCGTGTCCATTCAGGACGCTTACTGTGTGGACACAGTGAAGGCCTTCTGGGAAGAGAGGAGGACTGAGGCCCTCAGTGGCCTTCAGGGGAAAGATGTTGTGGTCCTAGGTGCGTAGCTGAAACTTTACCATGTTATACAAATATTGAAGACATTAGGTAGTGTGACTGTAAGTAAGCAGCTAACTCATATTTTTAATTTTTGGATTTTATTTTTATTACTTTTTTTCAGCAGAGAACGACACCAAGGAGATCATTCATGTTGCCACCATCAACAAGCAGCAGACATCCTGCAACTCAGTCGTCATGGAGAAGGAGGGTTTTATTGAGACTGTGGACAAGCTTACATCAGAGATAAAGCAAGAGGAGATCTGCACAGGTGCTAATGCCCAGATCACAGCCCTTATGAGTAAGTAGTCATTTGATATAATGTTCGAATATATTTTCAGAATGGATTATGTTTAAAAAAAAAGCCTTAGATTACAGTCTTAACGGAGCGTCCTCTTTAAATGCAGACAGAGTGAGAGAGAACAGACATTGTTTTTTACTTTACATATAATCTGCCATAAAAACTACTTTCAATGTCGCATATTCACATTTAGTTTATCCCTTTACCAGCACTCTTTAATTCTATCAAAAGCTACAAGAAACCATTTCTCAACCACCATCTGGCTCTAAAACATGCCGTCTATGATACAGAGACCCAGAAGAAACGCTGCCGTTGAATGCTTCTAATACTACATGACTGTCTACAACGGCGACCTGTAACTTTGAGATTTCACACTAACAATGTACATTTGAAAGAGGAGGTAGATAACTTTGTTTGGCAGGAAGCCATGTTAGATACTTGTTCAGCTCACATTTATTTACTTGTCCCCTTTGTTTAAGAACCGACTGTAACATGTGTTGCACAGATATATTTAGAATACATTTAACTTCTCATTAACGTTAGCGCTCCTCCACTGATAAACATGACCGGCCTATAAATCGGTTGGGCTCTAATTGAAATATTGTTGTAATATTAAATGCTTTTCCTCTTTACAGACCCAGACAAAGGCAGATACAAAGATGTTGGAATTCATCACAGTCTGGACATGTGGCATGGTGCCAAGAACCTGGTAAAAAAAACAGCTGCTGTAAGTTGAATAAGTGGCTCATGTTATTGTCTTCATGTATTCATCATAGAGTGACATCAGGGGGATTTAACTATGTGCCATTGCTGGCTGAGAGTCTGTACGTTTTCATTCCAATCAAAGACAAACAAAAGTTGATTTTACTGCTTGGCCCCTCCTCTCTGTCTGAAGGTGTGTTAATTATTGAAATCATCTGGTGTTATCTTTGGTTGGGCTGAAAATCTGTTTACTCTCAGTCCTCCATGGAATAGGATTGAATATCCATGTCCTACATTGTTCTGTATGTTTTGTTTGTCTTCTGAAGGCAGCAAAGATAAAAAGACAGGTGGTCCTCCTCATCTGCAGAAAGAAATAATAAACCGTTTTTGATGGTGACGCAAGCTTACAAAAGCATGAAATTTTTTGGAAGCACATCATTTATATACAGTTATGTTCAAAACAATAGCAGTGTATTTTAAAAAGTGAGTAAAGGCCCAAATCCTGTATAGCTTTCATTTCCATACATGCAAAAGAATTGGGAGCACTACACATCCTAATACAAAACTCATCAAATTTGTTTGCATTACTTCACAGAAAGTGAGGAAATAGGAATATAAGGCTTTTCTTTATAAACTCAAACATCTACTGTAACCGCTAAGCCTAAGCTTAAAGCAGCTGAGGGCTACACAGAGGGTTAAGTAGCTGACGCGGCGCGGTTACCATGGCCGCTTTGTTCGGTTTAGAAAGAATAAAACAGGAGTTCTACTTCTGCTTTATTCTCTGTCCTGAGAGATATGAGTCCATAACTGTACAATATTCCATCTTCATCGACAGTTTCCTCTGGCAACACCTGTGTCTGATTGCACCTACCCTCCTAAGTAGATGAGCCCCAATTAGCTATGCCATCACCCTTGTACCACCTACTGGCCAAACCTGGACATAAAAATTTAAATGGCTTCTACATCTACTGTAAAAACTGAAAATGCTTGAAGATTTAGCTTTCCTATGCATCACTGAACTAGTATTTAGTTCAGGGGTATTATAATGCCATATAATGGTCCAGTTAGAGGAAATCTCCTGAAGCAAAGGTCCAGAACATCATAATGACTAACTTGCATTATCATTCAGAAAATGCTTTATTGCCAATAATTTTTTACATGTTCAAGGAAATTGCTTTGGAGATAATGGTGCTACACATAGACACATAAACAGTTGGCATAAATAAATTTAGAAATATATAAATATGTAATATTGACAAAATATAGAAGAATAACACTTAACAACAAAAAACAATATGTGCAGTATAACTGGCATGTGCAATGATGTGAAATAAAATAATTAAGTTGTTAATGAGTCTAGCTGCAGAAGAGTAGAAGCTGTTTTTGTGGCGAGAGGTTTTGGTTCTGATTGGCCGCAGCCTCCCGCCAGAGGGGAGTGACTGAAACAGTTTGTGACCGCGATGGGAGGGGTCAGCTGCAATCTTTCCTGCTTGCCTCAGAGCCTTGGAGGAGTACAGGTCCTAAAGTGATGGAAGATTGCAGCCAATCACCTTCTCTGCAGAGCGACTGATGCGCTGCAGCCTGCCCTTGTCCCTGGCAGTGGCAGCAGCGTACCAGATGGTGATGGAGGAGGTGAGGATGGACTCAATGATGGCGGTGTAGAAGAGCACCATCATTGTCTTTGCAGCAGGAAGTACGTCCTCTGCCTTCTTGGTGAGGGAGGTGATGTTCAGCTCCCACTGGAGGTCCTGAGAGATGGTGGTGCCCAGGAAGCGGAAAGAGTCCACAGTGGTGACTGGGGAGTCACACAGGATGATGGGGGAGGGTGGGGCTGGGCTCTTTCTGAAGTCCACAACCATCTCCACTGTCTTCAGAGCGTTGAGCTCCAGACTGTTCTGGCTGCACTAGGTCACCAGATGGTCAATCTCCCACCTGTAGGCGGACTCGTCCCCACCAGAGATGAGCCCAATGAGGGTGGTGTCATCTGCAAACTTCAGGAGCTTGACAGACTGGTGACTGGAGGTGTAGCTGTTGGTGTACAGGGAGAAGAGAAGGAGGGAAAGAACGCAGACTTGAGGGGATCCGGTGCTGATGGTCCTGGAGTCAGAGACATGTTTTCCCATCTTGACGTGCTGCTTCCAGTCCGTCAGGGATGTTCAGCTGAGAGAGCTTGTCCTGCTGCAGGGCCGGGTGATGGTGTTGAAAGCAGAGCTGAAATCCACAAACAGGATACTGGCGTCGATTCCTGGTGTTCAGGTGCTGGAGGATGTATTGAAGGGCCACATTAACTGCATTGTCTACAGATCTGTTGGCTTTGTAGGCGAACTGCAGGGGGTCCAGGAGTGGGTCTGGGATGGATTTAAGGTGGGTCAACAGAAGGTGTTCAAAAGACTTCATTACCACAGATGCCAGGGTGACGGGTCTGAAGTCGTTTAGTCCTGTGGTCTTTGGCGGAGGCTTTGAAGCTGGCTGGCACATGGCATTTCTCCAGTGAGGTGTTAAAAATGTCTTTGACTATGTTTTTAGTCAACAACTGACTGTCAAATTAAAATATATTTCAGAATTATTTACTGGGGGGATAATAAATAATAACTACTCTAATAATAAATTCTAAATTTAAGTAAACTAAAATAAGAAATCAGAAATTAAGTACTGGCTGGCTCCAGATCCAGACCGCTGTCTGCCAACTAGTGACCTCTGGTTTAGTTGTATGACGACGTTTCTTAGAACTGCGTCACATCTGTGTTGCATGGAGTTGACCAACTTCTGGCACCTGTGAACAGGTATTCCAGCCCAGGACGATTGGGCAACATTCCAAAATTCATCTGCATTTCATGGTTCTGCCTCAGATACAGCATTTTTCATGTCATCCCACAAGTTTTCTATTGGATTTATTGGGCTGGCCACTCCATAACGTTGTCTTTAGGGTTGTTGTCTTGTTGAAACAACCATTTTAACGGCATTTCCTCTTCAGGAGAAGGCAAGATGACTTTTAGATGTATTTAAACTGGTCCATGATATTGTAGGACATTGACATTCTTTGATCTCCCTGGAGCTGATCATTGGCTGAGTCTTTGCCATTCTGGCTATTTTTCGGTCCAGTTGAATGGTAGTTGTCTGTCTTCTTCCACGTCTTTCTGCTTTTGGTTGCCATTTTAAAGCATTTCAGATCATTTTAGCTGAGCAGCCTATCATTTTCTGCACTTTTGTTTTTTGCCCTCTCGAATCAACTTTTGAATCAAAGTGCGCTGTTCCTCTGAACAATGTCTGGAACGACCCATTTTACCACCTGTTTTTTCACAGAATGAATGACCTCACTTTTTGAGCTCCACACTGCTATTATTTTGAGCAATTAATGATTAAATTACACAGAATCAGCAGCATGCATTCCATGACTGTTGGGTCTGTTGGTTTTCTATTACTCTATGTAGGAATTTAATTTCTTCCACAAACAGTGATTGTTCTGGGTAGTGACTATTATTTTGAACACAACTGTATATCCATGTATATTTTGTCTTCTAGCAAGTTCATTCATTTCGTTATGATGGATTTTTATAGTGCTATTCTGTTTTTTGCAGGCACCATGGGTTGACATTATTCACCATGTCTGTGACATTTGTACCTGGACTATGGGAAGGTGTCAACATGGGCACCTTGAAGAAACTCGTGGAAAGGCGTGGATCCAGAGAGACTCCAGGTGCCACAAAGCTTTAGTGGACATCGTTCTCAATGAGCGTTGGCTGAAGGATGTGCATAAATACCTGCGCTTCAGGTAAAGTGTGGCTACATGTTTCACACAGATGAAAATAATGACTTTTAGTGCTTATTCTTTATTTTTATATATGTATAAAAGAAACAAAAGGGTGAAACTTCCAAGGGGGGAATACTTTTTATATGCATTACAATGCCATGAAATCATGGTCAATATAATTTGGCTTTTTTGACTAGAGAAAAGAAGAAAAAATCTTTAATATCAAAGTGAAAACTTTGTCAAACTAATGTCAATTAATTAAATATAAGGTAAAGAAGATGATTGCATTAATATTCACCCCCTTAAGGTTTGTATTTAGTAGATGCACCTTTGGCTGCAATTACAGCACTGAGTCTGTTTGGATATGTTTCAGTCAGGCTGACACATCTGGACACAGCAAAACAACTCAAGCTCTTTCAGGTTGCTCGGGGATCGGGCGTGAAGAGCTCTTTTCAAGTCCAGCCAAAAATTCTCGATTGGATTGAGATCTGGGCTTTGACTTGGGTCCTCCAGAACATTCACCTTGTGGTCTTTGAACCATTTCTGT